TAATACTTATAACTAATTAATAAATTAATTTAAATGAAACTTCATTATGCGCGTTGGGAGTCAAAATTCAAGGTCGTGACACACGGCGAGACGGCCGTGACGCGCGAGCTGGCGCACAGTGCTTCGAACATATGGCTCTAGAGGACAAAAATGCAAAACTTCTCTTTTATTGTAGGCAATTTATTCAAACTAGGTTTATTTGACACAAATGATGAGTACTCTCATTGTACTAAATGATGATGTTCTTAGTCCCACGTTTATGAAAAAAAATCTTATAAATAATAAAAATGTTGGAGCTCTGTTCCATCTAAGGAAATAATAATTTATAGTATGAAAACGGTGTAAGTATTAAATAAATTCCTGTGATAAAAAGAATTGGAATAACATTAGAACATGATTCCTACAATATAAATCTAATATAAGATAAAAATGTTTTCTTTAATGAAAAAGAAACATTAATGCTATATTTAATTTAAAAAAACTTAAGATACTATAAATTACTTTAGGACAACAAAATGCATAGATCGTAACTACTCTGATTCAGAAGAATCATTGCTGACAGAACCTTCCAAATTTATAGTATCCAAATCACAGGTAGATGAAATATCCTCACATATAAGATATTTCTGTACATCATTTTCTAATATGTTACTTTTTCGCGTTGTTACTGTTCTTTTTGTTCGTATGAGGGGTTCGGATGTTAATAGTTACCTCTTTAATAGACCATATCCATATATTATTTTTTCGTTTTCTTGGGTATGAGGTTTTATAATAAATTGAAAGATGGGGAAACATTTTTTATGCCACATTTCGCTCCAACATAGTGGGCTCAGGCACAAGTGGTTATCAAATTGGAATGGAAGGTTCATCAATATCTAATAAAGAACACATTTTTTGAAATATAAATAATTTTGAGTTCTTGTCCTTATGATTAAGCCAAATATTAACCAGATCGGCATTGCTTATCAATTTTACTCCATCTGAAAAGTATTAAAAAATAAAGTTCGTCGCAAGCGGACGCAGGTGAACTATACAAAAATTAAAAGTGTATGAATATGGCAACAAAAATATTCAATAAACACGATATGTTTTGATATGTTTTTTTTTTATGACTTTTTGAAGTTTGAAAACGTAACATTTTTATACCCATTTAAGAATCATCTTAAAAAATAAATAAAAACTAAACAATAACGAACTTGTTTAGGAATAAATTTAAAGTACATACCTTGTTTAACAATATCCATAGTGGCTTTCAATTAAGTACGTACCGTTTAACTCCATATACAGAACTAATATGAATGTTATTCTTTTCACTGATATAAGATAATGATCGCAAAATTTATTTTTAGTGAAAATATTTGCTAACAAAAAAACGCTGTTTATGAAAAATAATATACAGGATGGTTGAACATTGCTATAAGTATAAAATTATATATTCAGATATTAGTAAATTTTAACTTTTTTTTCGATTTTTGTCCATGGGACGAAGCACTGTGTGGCGGGAGGAAAAGTGATAGTGGCAGTGTTGCCACACCTATCCTACTCGGGGTGGATATAACTCTTTGTAAAACAATTTAACTCCGCCATCTCGTCTACCCGGATGAAAAATAAGCTTGTGAAATGCGGCTAAGAAAATCACTATAGTAAACTTGATGCTGTACCTGTGTACTAATATGCTCTAGTTGTGTGCTAGGAAGTGAATTTTCATGCACATTTTTATTAATAGGTTTGTAGCTTTTGAATAACGGTCTAAGTAAAGCATCAAGCTCATTTTCCAGCTCAGAATTAGAATTTAGAGTTAGTAACTTGCATTTTCAAAACTCACTCAAAAAAACTCAAAAACTCAAATGGAACTGAGCTGGGCATATTGCCAGAAGAACGGATGATAGATGGACCAATCTAATACTAGAATGGCGGCCAAGACAGGATGCTCTCAGAAACAGAGGCAGACCTCCGACAAGATGGTCAGATGACTTAAAGAGATTTAGAGGAAACTGGATCCAAGTGGCACAGGGCCGAGAAGAGTGGAAAGATTTGAGAGAGGCCTATGTCCAGCAGTGGACACTTCAGGCTGGTTGATGAACTTGCATTTTTATTGGAGGACACTGTTATATTTATTGCAAACCAATAATCAATGAGAATATACGTATAATTTAAAAAAAATACTGCAAATCACTATAAATAATGAATTGATTGTAACTGAACTGTTATTTCTGTATTAGTAATCCGGTAAATGATGGTGATAAACAATTGTGATTGATTAAAATATTATTTTAAGATGAAACTTTTGTTAACAACATTCTGAGAATTCGAATAATGAATTGAATAATGACAAATAAATAAATAATAATAATCATTATTGACTGCTTTTTGTACATAAACGTTACAATTGTAGCAAGTCAAGGGGAAATTACATTAGAGTAAAGAAAAATACAAAGAAATAAATAGAACAAACATAACCAGATTAAAATGTATAAACATACAAATATTTTAAATACAAACAATCACAACTTTTTACATTAGTGTGGAACTGTTGTTAGAGGATTTTACAGTCTCAAAATATTCATCCATACTATAAAGCGCATGCTCTGAGAGGAACTTTTTAATAATAATTTTAAATTTTTTATTGTTTAGATTTTTTATTGGAGGTGGTAATACGTTGTAAAGTTTTACATTCAGAGAGTTCTTATCTGACTTACAATCGAAATTTATTTTATCTTATTGAACTTGCTCCGTTCGACTATAATCATTACCAAGAGCACCGTTTTTTAAAATTAATAGTATAACGTGTAATAAATCTTAACCACAATAGATCGTGGACTAGGCCTACTAGGCCACGTTAAAAAAACCAGGAATGGTGCTTCCTAAGAAAAAAGTATAAGAACAATTATTGTAGAAAATTTAATGGTCTACAACATTTGTTTGTATGTACTTTTGCGATAGCGCTTACCGTTTAGGAGAAAAAAGCAAAAAAAAACATTTTTTTTACTTTTAACCTTCAATAAATTTTTTACCAGACGTGGGAGGGGTGGGGATTTTTCAGATATCATTTATAATAGTGTATTTAAGACCTGTACCAATTTTCAGCTCTATGCGAATTATTGTTATTTAATCCCCTTTTTTTTTAATTTTGACTGGGGTAGTAAGCGCCATTAAAAAATAAGGAGTACGGACCAAAAAAATGACGTCTAGGGCTTGACCTCGACAAAATTATCATCGATTGTAATTTCCCAGCCGTGTTGACGCCATTTTTTTCGATCATGTGTGATACAACTGATGAGTTAAAGCCGTGCTGTGTCTATTATTTATTCAGATCTCAACACCATTCGAAAGTCAGAAAAATGTTAATTTTAAATATTTAATTAATTCTCAAAAATTTCAGTTTGGGGTATCATTAGGGGTACATATTAATAAAACTTGAAGAAAATATAAAAACGTTTTGTTTATTAATAAAGTATTTCGAATACAAAATTTTAAAGCTAAATAACGAACAAAGAAAAAGACAAAATAATAAAAAAATAAACTTAATTAAACTTTTACATGCAAACTACAATTATTAGTTATAATAATCAAATAAAAATGAAGCATTCCGAACTTTGTTTCTCATTTCAGACTTTCTTTTAATCAGCTCAATATTCTACAGGATGTTTCCTATAAGTGAAATAGTAAAAAAAAGACACAATATTCAAAGAGACGTAAATTTTGAACTGCACTAAGTGTTAATTATTGTTAATTTTGTGTAGTTTTATAACTTTCTCGTTTGCTAGCTAAGAAACTCAGTCTTTTGCATTTTTCATACAGCAACACGTTAAGGAAAACTAAAATAAATTCCGCTTTAAAATTATATGTATATTGTCATATGCGTATGTCAGTACATTTAAATATTAAAAAGTGTATTATTTCTGTATAAATCTTTGATCATTGAAAAAAGTAAAAAAGAAATTTTATGCAAATTACTTTGTTCCAGCGGCGTACATCTTATTCTTAAAAAGGGTTTCTATTATCAACGTTAGGAACTCCACATCTGAACATTATAAGCTATAAAGTTGTATTTTACTAAAAAAATATCTTTATGATTGGTTTGTTACCTTGTAACACAACTGTTTAAAATTTAAGTCTCTCCAGACACATATACCGGGTGTTTTTCAAAAGTGGCTCACCCCCTAACTTTTTTTAATTTTTCAGATAAAAAAACGAGATTTGGTGTGTTAGTATATGACATAAATCAAACTTGATTGACGTATTCAATTAGTTTCGATCACTTCCTGTTTCACCAGAAATGACTACAGCTTTCGATTGAAAATCTGTTATCCTCAGTATTTTTTTTTCTATAGACAGACTCAAAACTTTACTCGAAGTACATACTCCAGAGTCGTTTGTGACAAAATAAATAATTAATATTAGTCCAATAAAATTGTCATTTGAAAAAAAAATGACGGGCAAGCTGATTTTTTCAGAGTTTGTCAGCGACTGTCTTCTGAGTGTACAGGGGCGCATATACGGGAGGGGTAATGGGGGTAATTACCCCTCCCAGAAAGAAAAAAAAATGAAACAAGCAACTTTTCCTCATGATTTTTTTTGTAGCTGAGATTTTTGGATAGCTGAGATTTTTGATTTTTGTTTTCTTTTTGAGATTTTTGGGCGCTATCTCCAAAAATAGTCAAGTTACAAAAAAAGTTCATAAGGCAAAGGTATATGTACTCTTATTTTGAACGAGTTTCCTATTTGCTGAAAAAAGAGTAGCATTGAAAACTACCCTAATTTGTTCATGAACTGGACGCTATCTGCAAAAATAATCAAGCTACAAAAAAAATTCATGAGGAAAAGTTGCTTGTCCATTGATTATGAACAACTTTCATACGGGTCAATTTGCTGTAAAACAAACTTTTTGCAAACCACCCCAAAGGGCTCATGAAACGGCCGCTAAGTCCGGAAATAATAGACTTATAAAAAAATTCATTAGGCGAACTTATAGAGAATGTTCTTATGTACAATTTGCGTCTAATTATTTTGTTGTAGTAGAGTTTTAAAAAAACCACCCCTATTATGACCAGAAGACAGTCGCTGACAAACTCTGAAAAAATAAGCTTGCCCGTAATTTTTTTATTTTCACTCTCTATACGGCGATACAATTTTATTAGATTATATCGTATTACTTGATATTGTCCGCCAATGACTAACGCAATCGATGCACTCATAAAATTATTATTTTTTTAAGTAACTGAAGTTAAAAAAACTTAAAATACTATCTTTTTTAATCAAAAATGTCAAATGTAGACAAATTATTAATACTATTCAGAATATCATTTTCTATCAAATAAAGTAAAAAATACCGAGGGCGCCATTTAAAATTCAGAAGTTGTCATTTCCGGTGTGAAACATGAAGTGACTGAAACTAACTGAATACATCAATCAATTTCCGTCATATATCAAACATACCGATACCCGTTTTTTTGTCTGTAAAAATCAAAAAGTTATAGGGGTGAGCCACTTTGGAAAAACACCCATTATTATCTCTACGAACTAGTTTGCATAAAATACTGCAAGAAAATATTATATTTATTAATTTGTATTTAAAAATAAAAATAAAATAATCTTCTGAAAAGGTTTGCACCAATTAGGATTTAGGATTCATCTGAAGTGAATTAAATTTATCACTTAAGGAGAAGTCGGGCCATTTTATATCGATCGCCTGTTTCACTATCCCTTCTGTGGCCCCTCGAAAACTTTTATAAGCTCGTTCTAACTCATCAATTTCTGTATAAACAGAATTATCTAAGCTGATCTTTAATCCTTTACATTCCTTCTCAACAAAACTACGGTCTGTCTGCGATGAGATTAATTTTATATCATAAAGTATATCATTATAAACCTGCAAAATGTCAATACAAGTGTCGCTATATTTTTCATATAAAATATCATCACAATAGTTTTTTTCGGCGTCTTCAATAATATTGGAAATTTTATTTTGGCACAAGCGATAGTTTTCCAATGTAACTGTTAATTTGTTCTTCTGATTGGTACTCGTCTCATGTGCTTCCACATCTAAAATTCCATCGTGGTTAAGAAAAAAAATTGCTTCAAATTTTACGTCACCGGCTTTTCCTTTGGGCAAATTATTTATGGTGAATTCACCTAAAAGGGTGTTAAAAGCACAGTTTTTTCTTTCTCCTTCATAGATTGGGAATGTAACCTTTTCTTGGTCGTTTACCGTCGTACGTATCTTTAAACATCCCTGTGCCGGTAATGGGGTATTTTTCTTAATTGCGACGAACATCAAACGAGGTGAAACCTCAACACCCAAAGATAAAGGCATTACCTCAGCAACGACATATCTTTCCAATTCCTTAAAATTATGCTTCAAGACTGAAGCTTGTATTGCAGCACCCAATGCGACAGCTTCGTCTGGATTCACGTCAGTTTTTGGATTTTTACCGCCAAAAAAATTCCGGAGTTCCTCGCGAATCTTCGGCATTCTTGTCATTCCTCCGACTAGAATAACCTCGTTTATGTCATTTTTCGATAGACCCACTCCAGTAAGACACTTCTGTACCAGATTAAGAGCTCTAGTAGTTGTCTCGTTTGTTATCTCGTTATATTTATCTCGTGTTAAGGACATATTAAAGTCGTCATTCTCATTTTTAATGCAATTTAAATTCAGGGAATATTCATTTTGTGTGGATAGTTTTTCTTTGAGGACAACACATTTTTCTTTTAGCCTCCTTAGAAGCCTTGGTGTTACATAACTCTGATTAAATTTCTTAATTATTTTTGTTTTGAAATAATCTATTAGTACGTTATCGTAGTCTCTGCCGCCTAAAAACGTATCTCCTTCCACACTCAACACCTCGAATTTTTCTTTGCTCACTTTTATGATTGATACGTCCAAGGTTCCACCTCCCATGTCAAACACTAGAAGCGTTCCTTCAATATTGCTCCTCTCTTTCGTGTAGTATATGGCTCCTGCCACAGGTTCGCTGATCAGCTTCAGTACTCTCAGTCCAGCCAATTCCGCTGCTGCTTTGGTTGCTGCCCGTTGCGCATTGCTGAAATGAGCCGGAACGGATATAACAGCTTCGGTTACTTCGGCTCCGAGGTACTCGTTGGCCGACTCGCGGAGGTACTTCAGTATTTCGGAACTAGCCTGTTCCGGCGATTTCCATACAATCAAGCCGTCGTGTTTCATTTCGTATTCTGCTTTATCTTCGTCACCTCGGACAATTTTGAACCTGTACTCGCTCCTGTTTTTCAACTTTTGGACGTAGACGTCATCATATTTTCGACCAATAATCCGTTTGGCATCTGAAAAATAAAAATACATACAGGGTGGAGACTTTCATACGACGCGGAGCTTCCAAGAAGAAGGACAGTTTCTATTGAAATGTAATTTTGTGAGCATATGTAGGCTAATTTTGAGCATTTCTACGAAAAAAGTTACACATCAATGTTGTGTTTTTTGTAGTGGAACGCCCTATATATTAATTGATTTTCGGATTCTAGAAGAAAAACAAAGGTGACTTCTATCAGAGAAGTACCTATATGACTAAAATCAAAGCTGCAACAAGTCAGTTTTAAAAAGAGAGTCTTAAGTCATTTCTAAAATCAAAATGATTTAAGTCTTAAGTCAAATTCAACATAAAGTTCAAAGTCTTAAGTCATTGACTTAAATCATTTTATTTCAAGTCAAGTCATTTTTGTAAAAACTTAAATCAATATAACGTTATTTAAATCGTTTTTATGACCTAAGTCTATATTTTTGACTTAAATCATGATGATCTGCAAGTTAAGTCAGCAAAATGATTTAAATCAATAGAATTACCCTCAAGTCAAGACAACCAGAATCAGAGTTGGGTAGGTAGAAAATTTTACATATTCTACCGTATTTTCTAGTCGAGAATTAGTAGTCGTAAACAAACCAATGGGCTCTTTCACTATATTTTGGAATTAGCATAATTGAATAAAACAATTAATTCTAGAATTTTCTGCTATCTCACTTTCGAAAAATTTGAAGTCGTTCTTAAGAAAATAAATAAAAACTAAAAGCCCAGGATAAAAATCCGCACTTTATTTTTAATACGTCACACCTGGCATGTTGAAAAGCGGCAACACGGCCGATGCCGGGCGACCATGCTGACCTATCACCACCTCCATACAAGGCCATTCAACCTTTTCCAATATGGCGGAGATAGAAGTGCTTTATTTGGCGCGTATTTTAAAACCTGTTTTGTTTCCAAATAGACATTTTTCACACAAATGTCGGGTTAGATTACGTAATATTTCCAAGTTAAAGGTCTGCTTTCTCAGAAAATAAGTAGTGTCAAAATATTCAAACTTGAAGTAGCATATATAGGGTGTTCAAAATCATCGGAAAAAGAAATAACCAGAAATATATAACAGAAAATAGCAATATAAACTAAATATTCAATTGCAAACACTTACCTACCATAGTTTAGAATTTACTGAACGTTTGATAAATATATACTATTATGGACAGTATAGGAAGTTACTTGTCTTAGTAAAAGCCTTGGTAAATGCTCTTCGAATTATAAACTACACTGGCTTAGGTCAAAAAATATGGAATATTTTTTCTATGTTTTGCAGCATTACACAAATGGGAATAAATTTAAACTATAATAGGTGAGGATAAATTAAAAATATAATATATGTTTCAAGATTTTATATAGAAAAAAACTAAATACCTTTTTGGGGGTTCGTAAGTAAAACTTATGCTTAGCTTAGTTTTCTTTACTCTTTCTCTTTACATAGGGTATTGTCTTTGTGGTAAAGACGTCATTCCTTTTTTTGCATAGTTCTTCAATAAAATATTGGATATTCTGAACAAGATGGATTTAATAATAAATTCTGACGTATGTGAGGGGCAATTGTGACCTAAAAAAAGACTTACATCCAGGCCATTTATATTTTCAAATGTCAATGTTGTCAATATCTTTCTGTGATCTTTTTGATGTAAAAAGCTTGATTCTTCTTCCAATATTTTACTTATAGTGAGGTAAGGGTAAGCAGTAACCCAACTACATCCTCACTAGGGTAACAGAGGCTTTGGCCTTTGGCTTTTTTGAGGCATATTTAATGCACTTCTTACCCGAGAACTACTAGTAGGAGTGAAATTATCTCTTTTAATAGCTGTCAACCATTTTTTACGAAGCTCGTCATTTTTGGGGAATATAAAAGCAGAAACCTTGGGACCCCCCCTATAATTCCTGTGACAATTTGGAACAGAGCATGTAAAAAGCATGCTACAATAAAATGTTAATACCTACCCTTTAATACCTATATTTTAATTATTGTAAGTAACCATTATAAAGTACTATGCAGACTGGCGGCGAAGGCTTTTTACTCATTTAGGTGTAATATCTTGATAAATACTTCTAGTTCTTACCTTAAAATAATTAATAATAGAGGAGTACGACAAGCACAAAAGTTTGAAATCCTCTATGTGGAATGTCTGGTTTGGATTTTTATTACACTGTTATTTTATCACAATTTTCTGATCACACCATGCACTGAACACTAAAAACTAAACAAACGTGTTGCAGAGGCACAACAAACTAGACATAATTAATTATTTCTGGTATGCAATCAGAACGAGAAACCACTACCGGCTTTTCAGGTTAAAGGTAAATAATTTAATAATGTGCTGCCTTCGCCGCCATATTTGCCTTGCCCATATCATGTTGATTGGCCTTGAGTTGAGGTGGTGCTGGTCAAATCAAATCGCAATGTTGCCAGTTGTTGGCTGGCGCACGAGCACGGTTCTGCAATGTGATTGGGTGTATTTTTCATACGTCATCAATTGGCGCTTTAAAATTATTTGAAATTAAAGCAATTTTGAGGGCCTATAAAAAAATTATTCAATGTCGTGGAACTATTTTTTTTGGATAAATATACTGAAAATAGTCTTCTATTTCAGATTTTGTCCTTGAATTGGGTATTTTATTTTTTGTGAAAGAGCCCAATGGGGGTCAATGGAAATCACAAGACTTAAAATCAAACGACTTAAGTCATTAAAATGATTTAAATCAAAAAAGACTTAAGTTTTCTGGGAGCTTGCAGCTTTGTTCTCTGATATGTTGGAACAAACCTATTACCTACCGAATATAAAATTGTTGATATAGTCTATTCCCATGTGGTCGGCTGTGGTTCCAACTGATACTTTCAGTTTCATTGGATGGTAAAATATATATGACGGGACTAGTCTAGGTCCTTCCTTGGTCGGTATAACTTCGACTTTTCCATTTTGATACACGGCAGCTGATGAGAATGATGTGCCCAAATCGATCCCTATGGCCGGTGCTTCAGTTCCCTATAAAAATTAAACAATAATTTTTTACACACTTAGTTCTTTATTATATAACTAGCGTGTACCCGCGACTTCGTTCACGTCGAATTAATCATTTGTAATGTAATGTCAAAGCAAGAATTTCCATTAACATACAAACTGGATAAAAATTTCTCACATTTATGTCATGCTTGAGAAAAAACAATATAGCGATATTATTATATAACTTGATAATATTTGAGGGGTAGTTCCACCTCGTTGGAATTTGACTTTCGAAAAATCCGTTTGCCAAAAATAAGCTTTTTACGTCAAGCAGAATCGTGGTTAATCAATTACCCAACTTTTTGGAACACCCTGTATAAATTTTTAAACAAATTCAAAATATGTAAAAAAACAAAATAAATTATGCGTGTCCAAGCGTTTTCCCGAAAGACTAACCTTTTTTTAAATAACAAATATTGTAATATATGAGGGGTGTTTTCACCCTGTTGGAATTTGAGATTCGAGAAACCCCTCCTTATCGAACCTCTACACCCCACAGTCAATCCGTTTGCCAAAAATCAGCTTTAAACGTCAAGCAGTTTAAACATTTAAGAGTTTTTCCGAAAAACTCACCGGTTTTCAAATAAAAAATATTTTAATATTTGAAGGATAGTTTCACCCCCTTAGAATTCGAGTTTCGAAAAATCCCTTCTTATCGAACCTCTACACCCTAAAGTCAATCCGTTTTCCAAAAATCAGCTTTTTACGTCAAGCGCTTTAAGCAGGATCGTGATTAATCAATGACCAGATTTTTCGAAACACCCTGTATACATTTTAAAAAAAAACTTAAAATATGTAAAAAAACAAAATAAAATACACGTGTTTAAGCGTTTTTTCGGAAACTTGACCGTTTTTTAAATAAAAAATATTGTAATATCTGAGGGGTGGTTTCACCCTCTTGGAACTGGAATTTCGAAAAATCCCTTCTTATCGAACCTCTACACCCTAGAATCAACCTGTATGCCAAAATTGAGCTTCTTACGTTGAGTGGTTTGAGCAGGATCGTGATTAATCAGTGAGTCAGTCACTTAAGGATTTTATATATTAGTATAGATATACAGGGTGTCCCAGAAATAAGTGCAAATATTTTAACTGGTGGTATAGTTTAACCCCAGAAACACGCCTATGAGGTTTTTTTCGTGAAAAAAAATTGAAAATTCGAAATTTTTGAAAAAAAATTTGGATTTTTTTTTTTAGTTTTTAGTTAAAAAACATAATTTCTTGATAATATGGCAACATAGGTATTAGATTAAATTTACAAAAAAGAAAATCCAGAAAAGATCCAGTGGTTCTCAAAATTTTAGCAAAAAATCTTTTTTTTTTTTTGGAAATTTTCAAAGTAAAATAACTCCGTTATTTTGGACTTACTTGAATAACGATAAAGAGAAAATATGTTTCTTTTATCGAGATCTACCACCCCTTAAAATACTTGCACTTATTTCTGGGACACCCTGTATAGATACCGCTGACAAGTTGGTCTCGGTTCCGTCACGTTGGAACCCGCTTTCAAGTAAAGTTTTCGATTTTTGGCTTATTATTAACTACAAACGATGCAATTGATTGTAGTAAATTCAATTTTTTTGTAGTACTAATAATTAGCCAGAAAAAGTAAACAATTGTGCGCAATGTAACAAAGAGAAAAAATATTGTTTTAACAAAGGTCTAAAAACCTTCAAAATCGTTTATAGTTTTATGTAGTAGCAAAAAAATTCAATAAAAGATCCTTGGAATTAGTGAATTATAGTAAAATATGAAAATTAACATAGTTTGACATAATGTCTTTAGTTGTTCTTTGGTTGTACCCAAACTACAAACGATGCAATTGATTGTAGTAAATTCAAATTTTTTGTAGTACTAATAATTAGCCAGAAAAAGTAAACAATTGTCCGCAATGTAATAAAGAGAAAAAATATTGTTTTAACAAATGTCTGAAAACCTTCAAAATCGTTTGTAGTTTTATGTAGTAGCAAAAAAATTCAACAAAAGATTCTTGGAATTAGTGAATTATAGTAAAATTTGAAAATTAACATAGTTTGACATAATGTCTTTAGTTGTGCCCAAACTACAAACGATGCAATTGATTGTAGTAAATTCAATTTTTTGTGGTACTAATAATTAGCCAGAAAAAATAAACAATTGAGCGCAATGTAATAAAGAGAAAAAATATTGTTTTAACAAATGTCTAAAAACCTTCAAAATCGTTTGTAGTTTTATGTAGTAGCAAAAAAATTCAATAGAAGATTCTTGGAATTAGTGAATTGTAGTAAAATTTGAAAATTAACATAGTTTGACATCATGTCTTTAGTTGTACACAAACTACAAACGATGCAATTGATTGTAGTAAATTCAATTTTTTTGTAGTACTAATAATTAGCCAGAAAAAGTAACAATTGTGCGCAATGTAATAAAGAGAAAAAATATTGTTTTACCAAAGGTCTAAAAACCTTCAAAATCGTTTGTAGTTTTATGTAGTAGCAAAAAAATTCAATAAAAGATCCTTGGAATTAGTGAATTATAGTAAAATATGAAATAGAAAATTAACATAGTTTGACATAATGTCTTTAGTTGTACCCAAACTACAAACGATGCAATTGATTGTAGTAAATTCAATTTTTTTGTAGTACTAATAATTAGCCAGAAAAAGTAAACAATTGTGCGCAATGTGTAACAGAGAAAAAATATTGTTTTAACAAAGGTCTAAAACCTTCAAAATCGTTTGTAGTTTTATGTAGTAGCAAAAAAAAAAAAATTCAATAAAAGATCCTTGGAATTAGTGAATTATAGTAAAATATGAAAATTAACATAGTTTGACATAACATCTTTAGTTGTACTAAACTACAAACGATACAATTGATTGTAGTAAATTCGACACACATAAAAGAAAATGGTCACGCAATTTTTTATAGTACTAATAATTAGTCAAAAAAGTAAACAATTGTGCGCAATGTAACAAAGAGAAAAAAAATATTGTTTTAACAAAGGTCTAAAACCTTCAAAATCGTTTATAGTTTTATGTAGTAGCAAAAAAAAAAAAATTCAATAAAAAGATCCTTGGAATTAGTGAATTATAGTAAAATATGAAAATTAACATAGTTTGACATAATGTCTTTAGTTGCACTCCAAACTACAAACGATGCAATTGATTGTAGTAAATTCTCTTTTTTTGGTACTAATAATTGTTAAGAAAAAAGTACAACAATTTCTCCAATGAGTTCTATTGTGAGCTGCTTTTTCCCACTCATTCTGCATGTTAATTCCTTTAAATTTTCGTGGAAAATGTCCTTGTATCTTTTCAGTTGTCCACCCGGCCTCCTCTTACCGTCCACAAGCTCACCGTAAAGCAGAGATTTTGGTATGCGGTTTTTCTTGCATTCTGCATACGTGACCAGCCCATCTTAAGCGGGATTTTGTGACCATGACTTCAATACTCTCGCAGTTAGATTTTCAAGGACCGATACGTTTGAGACATGATGGAACCACCGGACTCTTAAGAGAGTTGTCTAAGGTGTCTCTGTTGCAACTTGTTCAATGCGTTCATGTGTCAGCGGTAAGGCACCAGGTTTCGCTCCCATATATCATGGTGGGGATTATAATTGCTCGGTATACTGCAATTTTTATAGTACTAATAATTAGTCAGAAAAAAAAGTAAACAATTATTGCGCAATGTAACAAAGAGAAAAAAATATTGTTTTAACAAAGGTCTAAAACCTTCAAAATCGTTTATAGTTTTATGTAGTAGCAAAAAAAATTCAATAAAAGATCCTTGGAATTAGTGAATTATAGTAAAATATGAAAATTCAACATAGTTTGACATAATGTCTTTAGTTGTACCCAAACTACAAACGATGCAATTGATTGTAGTAGAATTAAATTTTTGTACGTACTAATAATTAGCCAGAAAAAGTAAACAATTGTGCAATGTAACAAAGAGAAAAATATTGTTTAACAAAGGTCTAAAAACCCTTCAAAATCGTTTATAGTTTTTATGTAGTAGCGAAAAAAAATTCAATAAAAAGATTCTTGGAATTAGTGAATTATAGTAAAATTTGAAAAATTAACATAGTTTGACATAATGTCTTTAGTTGTACCCAAACTACAAACGATGCAATTGATTGTAGTAAATTCATTTTATAGTACTAATAATTAGTCAGAAAAAAGTAAACAATTGTGCAATGTAACAAAGAGAAAAATATTGTTTTAACAAAGGTCTAAAACACTTCAAAATCGTTTTTATAGTTTTATGTAGTAGCAAAAAAAATTCAATAAAAAGATCCTTGCGAATTAGTGAATTTAGTAAAATATGAAAATTAACATAGTTTGACATAATTTCTTTAGTTTTTCCCCAAACTACAAACGATGCGAATTGATTGTAGTAAATTCAATTTTTTTTTGTAGTACTAATAATTAGCCAGAAAAAGTAAACAATTGTTCGCAATGTAACAAAGAGAAAAAAATATTGTTTTAACAAAGGTCCAAAAACCTTCAAAATCGTTTATAGTTTTATGTAGTAGCAAAAAATTCAATAAAAGATTCTTGGAATATAGTGAATTATAGTAAAATTTGAAAATTAACATAGTTTGATGGAGGTCTTTAGTTGTTCTGTTATTGGGATGTCTAATACATCGAGGCTGTTATACTGAGGTATTGTGTTTAATGCATTCAATTTTTTGTAGTACTAATAATTAGCCAGGAAAAAGTAAACAATTGTGCGCAATGTAACAAAAGAGAAAAAAAATATTGTTTTAACAAAGGTCTAAAAACCTTCAAAATCTTTTATAGTTTTATGTAGTAGCAAAAAAATTCAATAAAAGATCCTTGGAATTAGTGAATTCAGTAGTAAAATATGAAAATTAACATAGTTTGACATAATGTCTTTAGTTGTACCCAAACTACAAACGATGCAAATTGATGCCAGTAAATTCAATTTTTTTGTAGTACTAATAATTAGCCAGAAAAAGTAAACAATTGTGCGCAATGTAACAAAGAAAAAAGCCATTGTTTTAACAAAGGTCTAAAAACCTTCAAAATCGTTTATAGTTTTATGTAGTAGCAAAAAAAATTCAATAAAAGATTCTTGGAATTAGTGAATTATAGTAAAATTTGAGAAAATTAACATAGTTTGACATAATGTCTTTAGTTGTACCCAAACTACAAACGATGCAATTGATTGTAGTAAATTCAACCTTTTTTATAGTACTAATAATTAGTCAGAAAAGTAAACAATTGTGCGCCAATGTAACAAAGAGAAAAATATTGTTTTAACAAAGGTCTAAAAACCTTCAAAATCGTTTATAGTTTTATGTAGTAGCAAAAAAATTCAATAAAAAGATCCTTGGAATTAGTGAATTATAGTAAAAATATGAAAAAAATTAACATAGATTTGACATAATGTCTTTAGTTGTTAATAAACTACAAACATTGCTATTTGCGTAGTAAATTCCAATTTTTGTAGTACTAATACGTCAGTCAAATTTCCTGTTGTTTGCCTGCATTAATGTAACCTAGCAAAAAAATATTGTTCGTGCTTTGGAATTCGTTGAAGGGCATTTTGTAAAGCTTGGTAAAAATTTATCCTTATCTTCAATTTTAGCGTCAAGGGTGGGGCGTAGGCGCTAATGATGTTGACGTAAGTTTTGTCTGATATGGGGTACCTTAGGGTCATAAGACGTTCGGAGACACCAATAGGTACTTCTGTTAACTTGGTGGCGATTTCGTTTTTGATCGCAATGCCTAAGCACCATGAATTCTCCTGTGTTGCGGGATGACCTTTCCAAAAGAGGTGCAATTGATTTTGTAGTATATTCAATTTTTTTATAGTACTAATAATTAGTCAGAAAAAGTAAACAATTGTGCGCAATGTAATAAAGAGAAAAACTATTGTTTTAACAAAGGTCTAAAAACCTTCAAAATCGTTTGTAGTTTTATGTAGTAGCAAAAAAATCAATAAAAAATCCGTGGAATTAGTGAATTATAGTAAAATATGAAAATTGACGTAGTTTGACATAATGTCTTTAGTTGTACCCAAACTACAAACGATGCAATTGATTGTAGTAAATTCAATTTTTTTGTAGTACTAGTAATTAGCCAGAAAAAGTAAATAATTGTGCGCAATGTAATAAAGAGAAAAAATATTGTTTTAACAAATGTCTAAAAACCTTCAAAATCGTTAGTAGTTTTATGTAGTAGAAAAGAAAATCAATAAAAGATCCTTGGAATTAGTGAATTATAGTAAAATATGAAAATTAACATAGTTTGACATAATGTCTTTAGTTGTACCCAAACTACAAACGATGCAATTGATTGTAGTAAATTCAATTTTTTGTAGTAATAATTAGCCAGAAAAAAAGTAAACAATTGTGCGCAATGTGACAAAGAAAAAAAATATTGTTTTAACAAACGTCTAAAAACCTTCAAAATCGTTTGTAGTTTGGGTACAACTAAAGACATTATGTCAAACTATGTTAATTTTCAAATTTTACTATAATTCACTAATTCCAAGAATCTTTTATTGATTTTTTTTTGCTACTACATAAAATTACAAACGATTTTGAAGGTTTTTAGACCTTTGTTAAAACAATATTCTTTCTCTTTATTGCATTGCGCACAACTGCTTACTTTTTCTGGGTAATTATTAGTACTACAAAAAAATTGAATTTACTACAATCAATTGCATCGTTTGTAGTTAATAATAAGCCAAAAATCGAAATTTTTTTTCTTGGCGGCCTCTTACCGTTTTTCAGAAAAACGGAAAATTATTTCGACAACGAATTTTTCTTAATTTCTCATATTTTTAAGGTTTTCTAGCACATATTTTGTTATGTATTCAATAAACAATGATGTTATTGCTATTTTCTGTTACATTTTTAAATTCGCTAAAATAAATTTGTAAACAATCTGAAAATGTTGGGTTATGTGTTTCTGGCATTTAAAGCAACGTTGCCAATGCTAAACCTAAATTTAGCGTATTTTTTTGCTAATTCTGGGATTGCGAAAGGCGGTCGCCAGATGAACGGCTCCTTCCCATAATTGCTATTTTACCAACGAGATCTGATTATTTATAACCACGAAGTTGCACGAAAGAGTTTTGATTGCATTTGGTTACAACTTCCATGCGGAGGGTGTTAATCTTATGTTGTTATATTATATCAAAAAAAGATTAACCCCCTCCACAAAGAAATTAAAACCAATGTAATCAAAACTCTTTCGTGCAACTTCGTGGTTATAAATAGTCTTTATATAACTTCTTTGCGGAGGGGGTTAATCTTTTTTTGATATAATATAACAACAAAAGATTAACACCCTCCGCATGGAAGTTGTAACCAATGCAATCAAAACTCTTTCGTGCAATTTCGTGGTTATAAATATAATATAACAAAAAAAAGATTAACCCCCTCCGCATAGAAGTTGAAACCAATGCAATCAAACCTCTTCCGCGTAACTTTGTGGATATAGGTAGGTATATTTAATTATTGTCGATCTCATAATAGATCATTTATTTAAAATCCATAATCACCCGAAAAAAATAGAAGATATGACAACGTTGTAAATTTTCAAATTTCTAAATTAGGTCTAGAATATATTTGTCTCTCTCATTAAATAGAATAGAGAAAGAAGGATATATGAAATGTCAAACTTCCATCTGGTCTCAATTTTCTTTGTTATTTTATTAAGAAAAGTGTTTTTCAGTAAAATTTTGGACATTTTTCTATCCCCAATCAAGTGTGGCTTTTAGATAAACTACAAAATAATAAAAATATAGTGAAATTATTACTTTATAGGGCCGAAATAAGGAAAAATTAAATGTTGAAATAAATTTCCGTTTTTCTGAAAAACGGTAAGAGGCCGCCAAGAAAAACGTCCAGATTCGGGTAAATCCAGATTCGTAATCTAGGACCTCAAAATTGGGTGTATACCAATTTTGGTGAAAATCGGACGATTTCCAGTTTTCCCAATAATTGCCGAAAATTAAAATTCTACACCCTGTATTTCCGAAACGAAGCATTTTAGGACATACGAACTTTTTTACTTATTTTTATCTGCAGAATATGATGCCGTAGATTTCGGGGTAAATACAGTTCGGATCACCCTGTATACAGAAATTTAGACGTAATACAAAAAACTTACCATTTTTATGGAGATTCAATGTAATAATACAAATCAAACTCAATCACTAATATAACCTAACGGAGAGCAAATTAAACTGGTTATTTTTAAAGATATCGTTCAAATCAAGCTGACTGGGCCAGAAATTAATCACAAATAAAAAAACTAAAACGTAGGTAGGATTGGTTGTAGACGCAATTTATTTATCGATTACACCAGAAATGTATTGAAGAATGAAGAGTGAAGAGTGAAGTACACACAGGAAGTACAGAACCACGAACCTCGGCACAGGTGACAGGACAGCGTTGCCAATCTCAAAAATAAAATCGGTAGTTTCGAATTAGGGATGTTCGATTTGAATCGATTCTTCAGAAAATCGATCTTTTGACATGCGATTCACGATTTTTTGAATCGATTATTACAAGACCGATTTTATATAGAATCGATTCATTTAAATCGAGATCGAATCGTCATGCAGCACCAGAGATATGAGACATCTAGACATAAGGAGAATGAGCTTCGACGAGTGCGCATCCAAAAATCTTGTTATGCCTACATGGGCGCCATGTTAGTGTTTAGACTATCTGTATATCTCTGCGCAGCTCGTAAAGTTTCACTTAAAAAATATAAATGTAGGTTATTCATTGTTGAATCTAATTTTGTATTGAAAGCAGATGATGGTAAAATATACCGGGTTCGTCTCAAAAGTGGCTCACCCCTATAACTTTTTATTTCTTCAGATAAAAAGAAACGAGATTTGGTATGTTAGTATATGACATAAATTAGGACTGAGTGACGCATTCAATTGTTTTTGGTCACTTCCTGTTTCACAAGAAATGACTACAACTTTTGATTTTTAAACGACACCTCGATATTTTTTACTTTATTCGATAGAAAATGACACTCTGATTAGAATGACGTATCATATGTCAACTTTTGATATTTTCGAATATGGTTAAATTGAAATTGTAACATGCGGTTCATAACGACAATTTGACTCGAAATGCCAAGTGTGTGGTACAAAATTATATTAAAAAATACTTTTTCCAAATATACTAATGAGCCACCCTTGTTCCATTTGAAAAAATTGAGATATGATTAAAGATTACGATTAGGAATTTTAACCGGCAAGCTTTAATGTACGAAAAACATTAAACGATCAAATCTAATTTTTCAAAGGCTCCTTGATTAAAAGTTAGTATGTTTAACACAGCCACGGCACTCTAGATTGAAATTTAAAAATACGATTTTCATTTAAGTGAAAATGTCAAATGTTGACATATGATATGTCATTCTATTGAGAGAGTAATTCTCGTCACAAATTCCCTAACAAATCCAATGTAAAGGCAAGATATAAAACGACCGAAATCAATCGACATCACCATTTTCTTTAATATTAAGAAAATCAGTATATCGGTTGAAAATCGGTAGATTTGCCGATAAATCGGTAGGTACAGAACGATAATGGAACTGCCGACTACAGGATTCCCACGACTAAAAATGCTGACAGTGTTGCCAGACAAAAAAGCATTGGACTCTGAAATCTAAATGTGTATAAACAAGCTTTATCGTTTAACGATAACGCTTCAGGATTGTTTATGTTAATATACAGGGTGGTCCGAACTGTTTTCCGGAAACTTCGGTAGCGTATTCTGCAGATAAAAATAAGTAAAAAAGTTCGTATAAATGTATTGTAAGCACCTACCCTATATAATTCATAAAATTCGCTTAACGCGCCAACAGTAGTCAAGATCTGCGCAGGTCCAAGGATGAATGCTGCCTTGAGGCGTCAAGACTTCACTTCGTCGCGCGCCCTGCTTGATAACGGATCTCTATTTTTTTAATAAATTAGTTTATTAATAATGTATATCTATAAAGAGACCACACTGTCTCTAATATCAGAAGTGGGATGTGTACCCGTTTATCCCATAAAAAGTGCCCTTTGATTGGTTTGTGGTTTGTTGTGCTATATTTTGGTGATAAAATTAACTTTTATGGTGAAAGAATGGTATTATTTTCAAATTGTTTTATTGGGGGATAGGTCAAGTGTAAGAAAATGTAGGTATTTAGATTATGGGTAAGTTTGAAATGAGATTTTATAGGAAAGATTAAAAGAAGTGCCGATTTATACGAAGGGCGAAGTCTTTTTGATAATTAACGTTAGGGATGTACGATCTGAATCGATTTTAATCAAAGATCGATCTTTTGCAAGAAAAATCGATTAAAATCGATCGATTTTTGTCAAATGGTATCTAGTATAATACTGACATCATTTTTAAGGCAAATAGAACAGACCCACTTATGGTTCCGTTTTTTTGTACTGCTTGCTAACTTTGAAAATTCTTCAGAAGATAAATCGGTACACTTCCTGTGGGTCCACTTTTGACAGTGACTGCATTTAATTGCTGTTATTTCGTTCTGATAATTTCCTCACAAACATTACATCGATCAACTGGAGCCATAGATACCTTTTAAATCTCCCTGGTAATACCAAGCAAATATCTGCGTGCGGTTTAGACGAAGTTTTTGCTGTGACAAAAAAAAGCGCACATGAAATTCCAACGTGCGGCACTCGAAAAAAAGACTTCGATATGTGGACGAGTAAAAACTTCCAGGCGATCAGAAAATAATAAAAACGTTAAAAAAAAATGCTCGAGAGAACGACTGTACCGAACGACTGTTAAGACTAAATTAAATTATATATCTAATATTTTTTTATATGATGATATTATCGTATTTTTATTACACTAGACAGTAGATACACTAGTAAATTCAGAGTCGAATGTCGATATTTGGTAGGATCGATCTTTTGTTGCTGATTTTTCTGGATTGATCTTGTGTCCGATGTGGAATCGATTAAAAATGTTGATTTATTTTATTTCTGGGACATTCCTAATTTACGCGCCTTTGCTTATTCAAAATATTTTATATTTCGATTACTCCTAATGTAAACAAACTGATGATAAAAAAGGTATCTGAACCGACACGATATCTACAGGGTGCGAGGTACGATGTTGCTGGTTTTCAACCAGACACTTGTTCTTGTGATTTGTAATAATTTAGGTATTATTAATAATATAAATGGTAAAATTAATTTAATAATTAATATTACAATCAATTCTGTTATGTTGAAGAATTTATATTTAAAGATTAATGGTAACCTATTTATAATACATATTATTAATTTTCTTTATTGAAACTTTTGGATAGTGGTGATGTAATCGAAATATCAATTGCAATAAATAGGTCCGGCAAAGGAACAAAGAAAAATATTTTAAGTTGATAGTTATTTTATGTCTACTTTGGTCTCAGCTTTGGTTGTTTATTGAATTAGTAGATTTGGTAAAAATTTCGGAAAATGTTATTTTTACATTATACACGATCAATTATTTTAGATAAGCATATTTCTTCAAATAAAATGAGTTCTGTACATAATGAGATACTGTGATGTCATTTAAAAAGTACTTAAGAAAAAAATAAAAAATGAAACTGGATCTTGTAACTTGATGTGCAGTGAACGGTTAAATGTTCCGCGCCTTCTTAAAAAAAATGGATAAATAAACAAGGGGGTAAATAAAAATATAGTTTTTATACTCGTTAGGTATAATATATTATTTGTCGAAATAAATTCAGTGTAAATACTGATTATCCTGTAAAATAAAGGTGTTTATGCTTTGATAAAAATATAATGGTCTAGTATATGATATTGTTAGAACCATGTTGCAAATTATTTATTAATTTACATTTTTTCATTCGACTTATTTTGGTGCACCCTGGCATACTTAATAATCATTTGGTGGCAAATCCAGGGCGTTCAGTCTGAGCCTTATCGGTTTGTTAATGTAAACAAGCCTTTTGCCACCTAGCATTTTCTTTTCGTCTCGAGAATTGTTTTGTTTTTCCGACTGAAAGCTGAGACATTCGGTATTTGGGAGTTTGAGCAATACGTAACTTGT